CGTTATATTATTTCCTAATTTGTATTATCAAAATTCTATATTATATACAAGTGCGCAATTTTGTAATTTTTCAGTTATGTTTATTTTGATTATTATTTTAAGAAATATGTAATTTATATTTTTCTTTTAGTTGAAGAACTTTAGTGTGTTATTTTTATATTTTTTTCAAATGTTTGTTTTTGTTTTCTACAACGAGAATATTTTTTTGTAAAGGATATTTTTTATTCATTAAATTTAATGGCATAATATTTTTGATTTATTTAGATATATTAAATAAATACCTTAATGTTTGTTAGTACATCAACTAATATAATATGAAACCCAAATATTATATAATAGAAGCATATATAGTTATATCAACATAATTATTAAAATACTCCAAAAACAGCAAAAAATTTATCAACTGACCTAGTTATATTCCCTAAACACTTAAAAATCCCACGCTTAATATTTAATATCCTGTGCTTTATTTGCTTAGCTTTTGTGTAACTATTGAACATAAAACCAATTGCAATTTATATATACACCTCCAATGGCGTCGTTAGTTGATAAAATTACTAAACTTACGGGAGATGGACCTAAGTGATCCCACGCACACTCTAACGCACTCAGGCGCAAGACAATAAACTCTAATTAGAAGCTAATTCAGTGGGCGATGCTTTTTTTTTTTATATCCTAGCTTGTAACCTGATTGCCAGCTGCCCTTTTGGTGGCATGCACACTCGCTCTCCCTGGCTGACTCGCTGGATAGCTGTTGCTCATCCAAGCACACATTTGTCAATTAGCTGTCCATTTGCAGCGCAAGCCTCTTGCTTCCTTTGTTCCTGTGCCTCCCTGGCCACTCTCGTTCAAAAATTCCATCCACACTCATCCTTAAAGCTCGGACAACTGCGTCGCAATTTCATGGCGGGAATAAAAACCCTTGGGTCTGCCTTTTGCAGCTTGGGCTTACCATTAAAATGGTTCGTAAGTAAACGTTTATAAAGCATACGTTAGGGATCCCTAAAGTACCGACCATGCTTTTTATAGAGTTCTCACAATTGGTTTTCATGCCAATGATTTAACACTTAATTGCCAGCACTTGATTGTGTTTGCACTCTTTGAGAATCTGATATATTCACTCAAATCATGGTTTTCTTGGAACTACGATTGATTTTCATTTTCATATTAGTCCATGTGTGTGTGTGTGCAATAAAAGGAAAGGAAAAAGTGGAAAGTGTAGCACACTTTTCACCACTCATGCAATATTTCCATTGAAATAAATACAGAAATCGAATATCGTGTGTGAAGATAGATGAATAGATATCATTACCGACCATGCGAATATACTTGCACAATTGTGTATTCAAAATAAGTGTCGAGAGGTGTTTAGTAAGTTATCGAGATAATAAAATATATAATGTTTGCCGAAGAGTTGAAACAATAATTGTGTGCTTTTTTTTCATGGACACATAACAAATAACACATTCACATCCACATACGCCCACACACAGAACCAAGCTCTCTGCTAACAACGCAGTTAACGCAGCGACTCTGCTTGGGGTCCAATGTGGACTATATTTGGAGAAATTTGTTTGTTGAATAAATCCTCTCATAGGTCGATTAGGTCGTGATAATATTAAAATGTGGGTAGATTACCAAAATATGAAAAAATCAAATTAAAAAAAAATACATATATATAAATCTATTACTAATATTTGGAAACTATAGCTATAAAAATGTACGATATATAGTTGTCGTATTTTTAAGAGATATCATTTTGCAAATGTTGCATAATGTTTTAAAGCGATAACACTAAAACGGGATTTATCGATTTTTTTTTTGACAATCATCACCTGCCTATCACCGTGCTATACACTGACCAGCAGGCAAAATTGCAATCTCTAGCTTTAAGGGGTTCTAAGCTCGATGCGCTTATAGAAAGACATGACTAAACACCTCATTAAAAACTAAAATTTGTTCAGAGCTTGTAACTTCTATAAAAAATACTGATTGAATTAATCAAATCAATCAAACATGCTTAAACTTCTGTCCAATACGAGTTCGTTGAGATTCGAGCTATCGATTTTGAATGATAAGACATTGCAATCTCTCTCTCTCCCTCTCGCTCTAATAATTCAATCCAACTCGAATTTCATCTAATTCTAATTCATTCATAAGCTGCTTGATTTTACTAACTGCCCTTGAATATGCTCAGCATCTAGAGGCGACGCGTATGCGGAACTGAATCAGGCAATAGACGTCATCCGGGCCCACGCGAATCGAGTAAACAAGTTTACGTGAATGAATTGACACTGATGGGGATGGGGTGACTGGGGATGTTGGTAGCTTTAGTTTAGATTGTTGTTAGTGTTGGGGCAGGTTCATGTCAATTGTCCGTTGCCAGTTAGCCCCGTAGAGTGTGTGTTAGCTAATGACAAATTGAATGCAGCTGCTGTCGGCTGCAGTTGGCATGATGGATGCCCGCATGGATGGAAGGCGCTCTGGAAATCCCCAACGAATGCGAATCAAAATCTTTGCTTGGCATTTTTAATTTGCATATGTGAGACGAGCTCAGTTGTGTGTGCTTTGACAGAGGACACGCTGCTGCCACTTAATAAAAGAAAAAAGCGTCGCCTTTGCCTGCTATCCTCTTCATCTGCATGACATATTAATGGGCTAAAGGCGACCCGCCCTTTTGCCTATTCGGCTCATCATTCATCGCGTACAGGTCATACATATTTTATTTCAGCTACAGTGGTTGCTGTTAAATGAAATGACTACGCTTCAATATATATATAACTTGCTCGAAATTAAATAAATTGCTGTCACATCTCATCGTTCTAAGTTTCAATTAGCGAGTGTGCACTGTAACTCTAAAATTACGCTAATTTGGCTAATTGAGCGCTCTGCACGCTAATGCCTTGCACTCACGTTTA